AACAATATTTAATCGGGCGTTTATTTGCTTAATAATAATTTAAAATAAATCTTTTGGCAGTTTTAGCAATTTTTTGTATACATCTTCAGAGTTTTGAGAATACTATTTTATTTTTTATTTATTTTAATTTTATATTTAACCCCAAGAAAATACCCCTGCTCAGGTGTTATCCTCTGCTCTTATCCCCTGCGCACATATGTACGCCCTCGGGTCTCGGTTGGCCTACGGTCAACTCCCTGTTAACCCCTTGAACACCAGTTTGCCTTTTTTTTGCTTCCGCTGGTTTGGTGATGATAAGTACCTTTGGGTGGCAGTTGTTTTTCTTTGTACATGTTATTAATTTCGCGTAAAAGAGGGCGAAAAAAAAGGGACCCAGAGAGCTGTCAATGTCACTAAGGGTGGCTGGGATGGATGAAGAAAAAAAAATGGGATAGATGGATGGATGAATGAATATCGGAAAGGGGGAAGCTGCTGCTGCTGCTGCTGCTAAACCCATAGCCAAAGGGGACGGACGGAGACGGACTGTGTGTGTAGCGGGCGTGTGTGGCTGTCAAATTTGACAAATGTTGACAAATGGTTGGAAAATAATATATCATAAGAACGCAACTCTTCTCTCCCACTCTGGCGAATAATAATATTATTTGCCTTCATTAGTGGGCCATGTAACCCGAACCATTTCGCACTTGTTGTTGCCCCTCGATGCTGTCTCTCTCCCTCGTGCTTCATTGTTGTCCTGTCAAATCAATCATTGTCTCTGGTTCGCTGGTTCGCTGGTTCGCTGGCTCTCTGGTTATGGTTCTCTCTACCTTTCCTTTTTTTTTTCGCACACTTGGATTTTGCCTTTTGTGTATTGACATAAAGCCCTGGGCCATAATTTTTCATTGCATCGCACACGCATGACATTAATTTTTGTTGACAGTTTTCTTTTATTTCATTCTGCTTTTGTACTTATTTTTCCCCCAGATCCTTCGTTTGCCTGTCAGCACGCATTTACATGTGTCACACGAGAGACCTCTGTCCCCCGTCTGTCCTACGTCCTGTGCTGTGCTGTGTGTGTGTGTCTAGGGAGGATTTCTGGCCATCCAAATGGGGTGACGAATTTTGTGGTTTCTGTCAAAAATTTGTGTGCATTTTTGTGCCAAAAAGAGTTTTTCCCAGCCCTAATTGAACTTGTCGTTTGTCATTCTCATATGTTTATGCCCCAAAAGTATTTATTCTGTTTTTCCAACATCTTTTTCTTTTATTTGTTTGGCATTTTCTGTTCGGGAATGAATCTTGTGCATGAATTATGAATGTGACATTTTGTGTCACAGTTTGACATGGGTTTTGGTTCGAATTTGTTTTTGCACATAGGAAAAGGAAGAGCTTAATATATTTAAAATGTAATTGGTAGCTGCAATGTGTATTTGTGTGCGCCTTTGATCTAAACAGAATGCTCTCGGGGGCAGGATAAACAGTCTTGGAATTGATTTAAATTGCAATATGTATAAAATTAGTTTTGTATTGTGTGTAGAACTAAATAATATAAATATAAATAATTTGTAAGTTTTTTTATGCGCCTCTGCAGCTGCCCCACTGCCCCTAAACTCCCCGACTACTGGCACCTGTTTCCAGTTGCTGCAGTTGATCGGCATTAATTATGGCACACAACTGGTAGCATATACTCGGTACATCCATCCATCCGTACAGCCATCTAAATATCTTAACGAGCGCGCTTGTTAAATGTAAAAACACAAATCCAAAGACAGACAGCGATACATTCAAACTCTCAGACAACTATCTATCGAGGAACAGAGACAGAGACACCGAGACACAGAGACACCTGAGATATGGCAGGTCTGAAGGGGCATCTGAAATGACGGCATCCGCGACAGGCGACAGTCGACAGTCGTCATGCATAATTTACAAGATTAACGATTCGAAAATTGATTTCAATGCCACTAAAAATGTCGAAAATAATCTCAGATACATAAAAAGTTTTAAGGTTTTTATTTTCTTGTCTTGAGGTTTTTTTTTTCATTTATTTATGTATTATCGGCGGGGTGTGTCTCGGCTGCTCGTCTGTCTGCTAAGTAGTGTGGTGTGGAAATGGGACACCATTTAAGTCATTTAAGTTTTATAGTAAAATAATTTTTATGGCCCCCAGGTACTTAAGGGACTTTCCGAAGTTGTGGCGTTGTGGGGCGTCACAAGGTTTCACCTTAATGACTTAATAACGAATTTCAAGACGCGACTTCCTTGGCTTTCTTACATTTTTTTTTTATTATTTTACGAGGGAATGCATCGACGCCTGTCTTCCGTAATTGTCAGCTTCTAGATTTGATTTGGGCGATGGGATGTGCCCTCCTTTTTTTTTATGACTATTTTAATGCAATTTTGTGAGAATAAAATGTGCTCCTGAGAGACCTTAGAGAAAACACTCGTTGAGTCGTTCGCTTTTCGTTTGCTTTTATCTTTTGCTTTTGCTTTGATTCCATATCGTTTATTCTCTCTCTTGTGTGTCTGTGTCAAAGTTTATATTTTTATTTGTTTCGACAGTAAACTTGATGTGTTTATGACACATCTTGACAGTAAGTAGCCGCCGCCGCTGCTGCTGCTGCTGTCAGTCACTTGACCTTTTTTTTTTTGTTCATTCTCTTTTTATTGGATTCCGTTGTACATCTCGGGGCTAAGCGTCCACTTATGATGTGATCTCTTGTGGCGAGGGTGAATGGCTGCAAAGATATAACTTGTTTATCCCCACCACATGATTGATAGTTGGATTGGATTCAGCTCGAATGGTTTTCAGGTTGAGAAAATAGTGAAGAAAGTGTATTGAGTGCGGGGCAATGAATGCAAGAAGATTTTAGTAGATTTCTGTATGAAATGAATCAAAGTGGAATTAGAGTATTTTTTTATTATTAATAAATATTAATAAATAAATATAATTTCAATGGTAATTTTTGTTGACTGTCTATTAAGCAAAAATATTGCAGTTGCCTTTCTTGGGATTTTATTGCTTCAAACGAACTCCATAAAAAATCCACCTTTAAGCCCAAGCCAAAAGCCAATCCAATCAATAATTGTGTGAAGCATGTCAAAAGTTGAACAAGTGAAGCGCCTCCAAATCAACTTCGACATATGGGATGAAAGCTACAACCCAACGACAGCTAAAGCTGAACAATATTTTTGTGGTTGTTGTGGTTGTTGTGGCTGTTGTGGTGGTGGCAAAAAAAAAAGTCAAGAAAATGTAAGCCGCAAAATTGAAAATACATCAAAAGTTGTCTGCGGCATAAAAAAAAAAAAAACCAAGCGAAGGAAAAATAAAAACACAAGGAACACAAATCGAAACGAAACGATACGCCGCTATATGGCTGGGCTGCTCTATAGAACCGAATCGAACCCAACCCAACCGAACATATTCAATAACGAGAGATGTCAAAAAGCCATCATAAACAGATGACATTTCCCATATTGAGTGGCGAAAGTAAAATTTAATAATAATACGACAACGACAGCAGCGGCCAAGTCAAAGTTGGCACAGGAGAGGGCGTTATACGAGACGTTATGTGGTGGATGGTAAAATTGGAGTGAGAGAGAGAGAGAGAGGGGAAGACCTTACTTCTGCTCCTGCCTCTACAAGGCGGCAGGCAGTCAGGCAGGCAACACGTCAACAACGAAAATTGACACGCCGACATAAACACTCGCACATGTTGTCGTCGTGGCTAGTCGAGATGCGAGAAGCGAGAGTCGAGAATCGAGGCTCTGGTGGAGGCGCACGCTGCTGCCCTGCTGTTTTTGGGGAATGTATGGCAAAAATGTCAATATGCTGTACGGGGCTGTCAGGGCTGTCATGTCATGCAGCAGTGGCACTGTGGCACCCACGAAACGTATCTTAGTTTCAGAGCCATGCCACCACCACCCCACCCCACACCCAACCACCTATCCATCCACATTTCCCCTCACTCATTCACTCACTCACTCACTCACGCATGAATGTTTGTGGCACATAATTGAAAGCTAGCTAAATTAATTTCAATGCAAAAGGCGCCAACCTCGAAACGGTTTTGTACTCCACGTAGAACCCCCCACACCCCCACACCCCCCACACCCCCCACACCCCCCACACCACCAGTCTACCACCCCAGGCCACCTCCAGTCTTTCCTCTCTTTAGCATGTGGTGGTGGGTGCCAACAACTGACTTTTCACACATCACTGACTAACTGACTGACTGAATGACTTTGACTGGCAGCTCGTTAACCGAAGCTTCCACTTAGTTAACTGATAGTTAGCATAGGTTAGCGCGTATACCACGCACTCAACGAAAAGAAAGGGTATATTTGTTGTTGTGAGAGGCAGAAGAAAGAGTTTTCTGAGAGCACTATGAAAAAATGTAGGTGCCATGGATAAAGCCTTATAGGAGTTTTTGTTTTTTTTTTTTATAAGAGCTAGAACAAACTTTTTTTTTCGATATGAAGCTTCTTTTTGTTGTCGCTTTAAATAGTTTCTAAAATATAAACAAATCCAAATAACTTTTACAACTAGAATTAGAATTAAAAAGTTTAAAAAAAAATTGTATTTTTTTTAGTTCATAATAATATTTAATATCTAATTAAAGGGTATTTTTAATGCGCAACAAATACTAAAAAATTCTACAAAAAAAAACATAATTTACATCACATCTCATGATATTTTTGAGAACAGTCATAACACCTATTTATCTTTGTCTTCTCTATATAAAATAGAAGAGAGAACCCTTCCAGCTTGGCCACCAATATTATACATACATATGTACATATGTATATATTTCTTTGGAGCATGTTTTTTGTTACATAATGAGCACTCCCATGACGGTTTTTTTGCTATTTGTTTATGGAATTCTCCATAAAGGAATATGCTGCCGCCAAGCTTGATAAGAGATTCACCTCTGTGCTGACATTACCATTGATAAGAACCAAAATACCCGAAAATAGGTTTCAATGAACCTCCAAGTGAAACATTGATGCAGTTGCAATATAATTTCTAGCTGTGAACATGTTGATTTATTCGCTTCTCTTGTGCATTATACTACATTCAACGGCGCTTTTCGTGGGTGTTACGGAGGCATTGTTCGATCAAAACGTGAGAAGTCTCTCGCGGCACATAGAATGGTAACAATAAACGTATTTTTAGGGCTATTTAATAACCGATGAGATGGAAGAAATGTGCTCAGCCGCCTGCTATCCCTCCATCAAGCCGCTGTTCAATTATGTGGGAACCTGCCAAGAAAATGATAAGACGCTGATGGAACTTCAGGATAGAGTCGAAGCCCAGGATCTGAAAATTATCAATTTAAAGGCCCAAGCGGAAAGCCTTCACACACAAAAAGAGAAATTGTTAGATGAAAATAACTGTGCGCCACATATTATCGTGGAGGAGGCTATCCAACAGGTGCTGCTGTTAAAAACTGAATTTAATTCAGAGCTAACCAAACTGCAAGAGACGGTAGAAGAAACGGAAGAAGTCCTGGCAGCGCTTCTACAGGAAAAACTCGATCGCATTAAAATAGCTGAAAGTTTGCAACAGAAAGAAAACACACTGAAGAATGATGAATTATCATTGAAACAGAGAGAAGAATCGTTAAAACTGAAAGAAGTATCCCTACAGCAGAAAGAAAACTCATTAAACCAGAAAAAAAAAGAAGATAACTCCAACGACATCCGTACCATCCGTGTGTCCGGCATTGATCCATTCGAAGCGCCCTACGAATCGAATAGTGCGGGATCTGACTGGATAGTCATTCAGAGACGGGTCAAAATGGACGTTAGCTTCGACCGCTCATGGAAAGAGTATAAGAACGGATTCGGCAGTCTCCGGGGGGATTTCTTTTTAGGCCTGGAGAAGATCTATCGCTTGACGAAGTCAAGCCCGCAGCAGCTTTACATCCAAAACGGGCAGAAGCATGTTAAATTTGACCACTTTAGAATTCGCAGCGAGTTGAATGGCTACAGACTCAAATCAATTGGTGCCGCCTACTGGCATGATGCAATGGACATAGTGGATATGCTATTCGATCAGGTGGGCATGAGATTCTCAACATACGATCGGGATCACGACGGAGATTGTTCATCTAATTGGGCGAAAATCCATGGCGATGGCTGGTGGTACAAAAAAGTTCCCAAGAGGTATAAAACCATTAAAATTATTGCTAATTTTCTATAGTTCCCATTAACATAAATGTTTTCTTTCTTCTTTCAAAGTTTATTGGATTTTGGAGCCGTGAAAATGATGATCAGAGCAAATAACGATTAAGAATTTATGGAGCCTAAGGATCGAAAATAAATATCTGACTGTTTTTAAATAACTGAAAACTGCTTTTACTGCTCATCCGCACTGGGAGAGAGTGTGCACGAGGCGAGTGAGAGGCGTGGGAATATTTTTGGTGAATTCTGGCTACAATTTTGATCGATTCGCAAAATATAATTTGATATAGTAGATGAGATCTTTATATAAATATTTCTGCAGTCACGGTCTGCCCCTATCTAGTGTTTTTCCATGCACAAATAAAATTGTATGAAATAAAATATTTCAATGATAGTTTTCCAACAATCAATCAAGCCAATTATTAGAAATTAATTGAGTAGCACACACAAAGGTATTCTATCCCTGAGAAATTCAAATAGCAAAAAATGTCTCTTTAAATGACTTTCATGCCACATATCGATTCGATCTATGGGTTCCTTGTAATCAATTGTCTTTGTCGCCCATTCAAGTGCGGAGCGGAAGTGTTGGGTCATTGTTCATACTACTTGCATTGTTTTTCCGGTTCAAGGAATTCCGGTTCAAGAACCATGCGCAGTACCCTACTCAGCTACTCATCTACCCTCTAGACTCCAGCCCTCTACCCTACTTGGTGGTCATTTAACGCTCTGTCATAATTCGCTTCCTGTTTATTCAACTTCTATGTACTTAAGAGTGGCAGGGCAGGGGACATTTTTGTCAACTAATAAACCAGGGAAAGAAATACTCGTTACCAAAATGAAATAAAACCGAGTCTCTGACTGAATTTATTACCATCCTCACAACGTGACCCCTGTCCAATCCTCATACCGTTTTCCCCTCTGGATATACTTACTTGTTCGCGTATGTGTATCAGTGCCTTTAAGTGTGGAACGTGTAAATTGCCTCAAGGAGAGAGAGACTGTGTGTGTGTGTGTGTTCTCCTGTGCCGCCTGTCGCCTGATGGTGGTCGTAAAAAACAAAAGGTTCATGTTCCCTGTGATCGTAAAAACTAACCACCGCATGGGATAAGCCTCAACGCTTTTGCTAAATGTTCGATAATTTTTGGCCGCAATTGCAGTTTTATGACATTTCATGGATCATATGTGACTCTGGCCATAAATTGTAGCCCAGCTTTTGCCGGCTATCTCTGCCATTAGAAGTATGTGTGTGTGTGTGTGCGCCTTGGCCATAAACTCTAAACGAAACCGACTCCCCGATAGTCAGCAAGCCAGCTGTCGTCGACTACTGGGCTCTTAATAACTATTTCTATTACACTTGGCACTCTGCGCACGCCGACGGTGTAGGGGGGTAAAAATACTAGAGTCCTGCCAAACGATGTCCACTTATCTCTGTGGTCTGTCCCATGGGCATAAGGATGCCTTGAAAATCAGAACATTAGGTGAGTATCAGAGAGTTGTTTCAGCTTGCGAGCTACTGCAAAAGAAAGCACGAAATTGGGATTATTTATTATTATTATTTTTATTTTTTTTTATTTTTTTTAATTTTTTTTTCATTTTTTTTTTTTATTTATTATTTATTATTATTTAATATTATTATTTTTATTTAAAGATTTGCATTAAACACTATTAAAAGTCTTGTTATTTTTACAAATATTTCAATTTCTATTTTCACATATATTTGTCCGTTTTATACTCAACCTTTAGGCAGTAAAATCCCTAATCCTTTCATATTTATTAGCAAATTTCTTTGCTAGCATATATGCGCTGTAACATACCATATGCTACCTATAAGGGACTGCCTTGTCGCATACTAAAAGATTTTTATGCGACAATTTCTATGCCAAAGCAACGACTAAGTATTTTTATGGTTTTTAATAACATGTAAGTTTTGGCTTTTATGGCTGGTTGTCTCTCTCTCTCTCTCTCTAAGACTAAGAGTTGAAATGTTGCTCAAAATATTAGCTACAATTAGCAAGCGAAACGTTATAGCCTGATTCTATATCCATCTATACCAATGACTATCCCTCATCAATTAGTGAATGTCTGAGAGAGAATGTGAAGCTGTTTTATGGACACTTAACTCATCTGAACGATTGAACTTAACATAGAACTGGCGCTCATAATTCTCAACTAATTTAAAATAATTTATAACGGGCGTTTGTCACATAAATCAAGCCGCGAATAATCCTTTTTGAACGGCACAACGCAGCACACACACAAAGGCGAGTGAGTGAGAGAAAGAGAGAGAGCTTGACTCCATGTCACATGAGGATTTATATCTTCCTTTTTGTATCTCAGCTGAAGCGCGCAGCGTAACATTGAACAGAAGCCCTCGCCAGTCGAAACCGCCTCGTAAACCCCCTCGTGTCTTGCCGGGTCCAAGTCGAAGTCGTTTCTTTTGGAGGCGGCGGCCTCGTTTGATGTGCAAACATTATTAAAAAGCCAATAAAACATTTAAAAACAGCTTGAAATTTTTCATTGTTGAGTTGTTGGCTGCGCTGCTGCTCCCCTCGTGTTTTTTTCTCTCTCTCTCAATGTTTTTTTTTTTTGGAAATTGAAATGAAAAAAATCAACCTCAAAGATTCGAAGACTTATTAATGCGACAAGAACGATGCCAGGCCGCACATCTCACAGCATCTCAGCATCGCAGACAATTTAATATCTTTGGGATCCCTTTGAGCTTATACCGATTGCTGGCTGGGGCTTGCAACGCGGTGAATGCGGCAAACGGTAGCACACACACACACACACACACACACAATGTCAGCAATCAGTGAGAGAGAGAGAGGGGTAAGAGTAAGCCAGAGCGGGTGAACAATCACATTTTGCCTGTGTGCTGCTGCGGCTGTCAATGTGACAGCTACCAATATTTATTTTAAATCACCAACTCTGAGGAATACGCATCCAACCAGCCATTCAGCCAGGAGTGGGTATGGGGATTTGGGTTTTATCTGTGTGTATGTGTGTGTATGATTGGTTGGTTGGTCGCCGTCGCCGTCGCCGCCTTGGCGTTTATTTAGGCAGCAGCTACTGTGTTTGTTTTTTGGCTACCCAATTTTCGTTCGTTTGAATGCCCCCCCACCCCAACCTCCCCTGCTCAAGTCCGTCATTCAGACATTCATTCAGACAGTGAGACATTCAGACAGTCAGTCAAAATGAAATACAAATATCTTTGACAGCTACTGTGCGAGAGGATCGAGTGGGACGGCAGCGGCAGCGGCAGCGGCAGCACAGAGTCGAGTCACCTCACCGACTTTGAAGTCTGGTTGACTTGACTTGACTTGCCCATCATTTCGTCTTTGGTTGTCTTTTTTTTGTTTTGTTTTTGTTTTTGTCAGCAGTTGCTGCTTTTGTCATGTCATGTCTCGGAACTCGGCTTGAAATCTTCAGGCCTCAGCTCAACTCAACTCAACTCTCGGCTCGAGTCATTTCCTTTTTGGTTACTTTCGATGTGTGACACACATTCCTTCTGCATAATACGGCAATACTTCAAAGGATACTCGCTAACCGACTGTCTTTTTCTTCTTCTGTTGTTGTTGTTGTATTTTATTTTTGGTCAGGCGTGTGTGTGTGTGCGTCTGGTGCGGCTTTGCTCAAACAAAAAAAAAAAAAAAAAAAAAAACGAGCAAAAAGCGAGAACAAAAGTCACCGAAAGAAATGCTTTAGTCGTCCTCTATGCCAATTCACAAAAACCAAACGAAACAATGCCTATAGGCAAAGTATCGCCACTGGCCTTGAGGCGTTCTGTTGATATTCCTGGAATCAAATGCTGCTGCTCAGCCTCAGCCTTAGACAATATTTATTGTCATCGGCTAATGATCTTTTTTGCCGTTTTAAAGGATCGTAGAAGCTGCACCAAAAGATGCGGAAATGTGAAAAACATTCAAAAGTAGCCTGTGAGTAGTTGGGAAATCATAAAGATATTTCTCTGGGAGATTTCTTAAATAATTAATTTTTGAATTTTTGATTGATTTTTGAAGATCTGCCACTGCACAGGTGTCGCGCGTTATGCGGCAACGCCCCTCGGTCGTCGTTTTTGCGCGTAAAAAGCTTAGCTCAGCTCTTCAATCAACCTTCGACCCAACCCAATTTTTAAATTTTTTAACGCCTTTGCGGGTTTTGCTCTCCACACCCCAATAAATAACACACAGAAAGCTATATACATTTATATACAATAGTATTTTCGGCGGGGGCAATCAAATATCACTCATACGCCACATGAATAATTCATCCAATTTAAAAGACAAAAGCCAAAGAGGAACCAAATGCTTGAAGAAATGCAAATTCTCATCATCAAATTATACAATTACAAAATATTAAAACAAAATTATGGATAATAATTTTGAACGCGTATAAACCACAAAAAAAAAAAATAAAATAAACAAGCGAAAACAAAGCAAACATTTATTTATATTTTATTTTATATAAAAAAAATGTTAAGGCAACAAAAATCCAAAAGGAAAGTACTGAAAAGCAACGACGCACGAGGAAAGGTAAATTGGTGCCGACAAAGTAGTGGAATGGCCCTCGATGTCTGATCATTTTTATATATTCAAAATACCATAAAAAACGAAACGGGTCTCGTTAACAGCGATTGGCCACTCGCTGAGTGTTCAGACAGCAGCAATACCCTACCCTATGGTTGAATAAAACTCGAGAATTTGTATAAAAAGAGGCTATTATTGTAAATTACTCCATAGATATTTATCAGTGCTGTAAAGGTTTTCAAGGGTTTTCCTTGTTGCTTTTTATAAGGCGAAAAACAGTGTTGGTAATGATAGAAAACGTTTGTTGGCTCTTGATTTGAAAGCACTTAGATTTCTCGTTTTTTCTCCCAATTCAACAGAGATATTTTCTACACATCAGTATTGTATAATGTGAAAAGCAGAGTTAGTAAAGATATATGCCGCTTACGTTTTGAAGTCAATGCATCAAATTATGTACCTTAAAATCTTTTTTTGTTGGGTACTATGTGAACTTCCCTGGATTATCCGATCTAGGTCAGATATCAGTGTTGCATAGACCCAAAAACAGTGTTGATAATGTTGGAAAATACCTTAGTTTCTTACGTTATTGTATACAAAATCTTTTGCTCCTCTGAAATAGATTTTTGTAACTCCAAATAAGAGTGCATACCCCTATCATTAGACGAATCTGCTGGGTAACTCATTCATTTCTATGCATGCGGCATAAGCCTCGGGAACGGGACGAGACCCGACCCCCATAAAGAGTCTCAACGTTTTCATAGTGTTTTAAATAGTTTACGATTATTGCAGGTCAGTCAGCCCTCAAACGAACACGAAACAAATGCCAATGGGCTGCGATTAGTAAACTGTTTTTCCCCCAAAACTCTTTGAACTGCTCCGACGCAACTGCACTGGTGCGGCGTTTTGGGGGTTTTTCAGTCGAGGTTTTTCCAATGCATTTTTAATTAGGGTCTACACACCGACAGAAGTCCAAAGTAAAGTGTTGATAATCATTGAATTTATCACCTGTGAATCGAGCGGCTCGTTACCGACCAATCAATTAAATTTGCCCTGCCTCTATCCATCTCTCTCCCTCTCTCTCTTTCTGTCTCGACCATAAAATGAAAACTTGTTTTGTGGAAAACTGAAACTCAGAGTCAGACTTAAAAGATTCAATTCGATAGTCACCGCATCATCATCATCGTCATCATCGTCATCGTTTTGCTGTGTTGTTTTGAGCTGCCATTTTGATGTCACGTCAATCACATCATTTCCACATCACAGACCATTTCACCAAACCCCAAATTGGTGGTTGTTATGGGCTTTATAAAACAGTCCCATATACGAGCATGTGCGAGTGTATTGTTGAATTATTTGCTAATTGGAGTCTCGCACTCGACTAGTCGAACCATCTAATTGTGTGTTCAAGTGCGTGAATGAAGAGCCACTCCACCTACTCCAGATTATGCAGCAATTTATTGAGAATTTTTGTGGAATTTTTGATGTTAAATATCTGCAGAAAATAAACAGAAAACTTTTAACTTTTCAAGTGATTTTTAGCGCAAGTTTTAAAATAATAATAATATATTCTTCTATGATCCGATCAAGGCCACAGCACAAACCCCTCTTGAAGTAATAACTCCTTTGAAAATTTTACAATATCCGTTTGGATTTGTTTTATGTTGTTGTTGTTGCTAAGGAAACCCACTTACAGATGATGGCATGGCGATGAATGTCCAACTCAAAGGAATAAAGGAATAAATAAAAAAATAAAAAGTGAAACGCATTTTTGCTTTTAAGCAATTTCCGCACTCGCACATTGAACGACACTTGAGAAATGTTCGCCTCAAAATGGGATTTTCTTTCCTCACTTTCGAATACCCTGATATTGTAAGGGTATTGTGATTTTTTTTTTTTGCTAAATGTTTTGCAGCACAAAAAATATTAATAAAAATGTAAAAAGTATTAATATATTATGTAACTACACAACATAAAAACAATTAGTTTAAAAATTGGTTTTTGCTACTATAAATTAGTTGACAAAAACGAGATTTTGATTAGTTTTTGTACTATTCGAATTTAATCAATAGATGCTTTAGATTTCCATATTTATTGATGGTTTTCCATGGCTTTTCATTGATATACCAGATCCATAAGAGTATCAAAACCTTCGACTAATGCATCGCTCCTTTTTCTTTTTCCTGTTGGCAACAACAAATGCAATCAAAAAATGTGCAAGTGCCTGCCTGCAGCCCTCGAGTTAATGATATACACTCACTTCAAAAGGGAAGTCTACGAAAGGGGTGAGAGGAGGGGCTGGGGCTGGGTCTGGGCATTATCTGGGCTTCTGAAGAGGGTTACGTCTCACCACTCACCCCTTTTTTTAGTTCGGTTGATTTTATATTTGGTTTGAGGCAACACTGTGTCAAGTTTTTCAAAAATTGCTAAGAAAGCAAAGCCATTGAGTATGGAATCCAGAACCCCGATATGGTTACCGCTGCACACCCCTTGACGGGTGACGGTGGACGGGGGACGGGGAGGATAATGCAAACACTCTCTGCGAGCACTCCGCATGTGGGGTTTGATAAGGGTAAAAAATAAAAAAGAAACGTATCCGGAGTACTCGAGCACTTGAGCCGAGCCGAGCCTTGAGTCTTCAACCGACTGACAACCTTTCTTCTTTATTCTGAATTGCAACTGTGAAAACAATTAAACTCTAGACATGAAAATATTTGCCCCCCAACCCTCTTTCTCTTGCTTGGACAAAAAGGGATAAAAACGTAACCCTCCAGCCACTCCCAGTGTGCTCTATAGTGATGTAATAAATCCCTTAACAATGGCTTAATGCCTCAGTTGACTGACTGCTGGTCCGTACGTACCCCTCGAAGGCATTTCAAGTGTCAACCGGTAGATACGAGCATAGTGCCCAAAAGATGGGTAGCACAGTAAGCTGGCTGTAAGGGTTGATGATGATATCCTCACTTATCCTATCTAATCTTTTAGCTATTTAATTTTGATTAAATCCAGTCGGAGGGGGGAGTCGCACTCTCTCACAGCTGTATGCAGTTCCCATGACTAAAATGTGATTTAAAATCACCCACTTCCGAGTCGAGCGATTTGAACTTCCTAGAAATATCCAACAGCTAAACGTTCTAAGAGATGCCAAAATCAATAAATTAGGCAAAGACCTTGAAACCCACGACCCAAACCAGCAGCAGCAACAGCAGCAGCGGCAGGGTTCCAGCGAAACGAATAAGAGGACAAATACAACTTCAAACGGCACCGATATAGGGTCCCAAAGGAGAAGCCGATGACGACTTTGTGCCCAAAAACTCTCATTCATACATATAATTCAAACAGAAATGTGCAAATATTTTGCACTCCAACGAATTTCTTCATAATTTTTGCGGCACTTTTTTCCCGTCTTTTATTTGTTTAACAACAGCGGGACACTATTACTGAAACAATGGATAATGACCACTGTGCGTGCCAAATGGCATATCACATGGGATTTTCTCAGGCCATTAGCTCAGCTTCTTCCAGAGAAATGTTCAACGCTTACTTTTCATTTCAATTGAATTGGTGTAAAATGTAAAAGGTGTTTTTTTCTTTTTTGGTCAAACAAAAACCAGAGGGCGGTGTACAACATTTGATGTTTCTATAGGCAAACAAAAAGGAAGCCCACAAGGAAGTATTTATTTCCGATTTCGTTCAGAGAAAGATTGTAATAGGCTCTAATTATTCGGAGTAGTTATCTTTTTATACCTGGTACTCAATCCCAAAAAGTATATTCATATATTCTGGATCAGCATTAATAGCAGAGTCGATTCAGTCATGTCTGCCTGTCCGTCCGTCCGTTTCTTAAATCTGAATGACTGAGTACGGGTATTAAAAACAAATTCGCGGCCACTGCAGCGACTCACAACGTTCCCTCGCGTTTTTAATCAAGATATTTGCTTTAAATTTCTATATTTTTCTCTCTTTTCTGCAGCTTTTAATTCGAGTGGATTTTTAACAGCTCTCTTGGGAGCAATAAAAAAAAATTCATTTTAAATTGTTTTTATTTTGTTTTTTATTTGTGTGGATGCCTTACGGATAACCGATTTTTGGCATTTTAACTCTAAAATATTTCTATGGTCCGTTTAGTACAAATCAAACTCGGACACAGTTCGCATCGAAAAAATGTCGTGGAATATATTTTGGATATTTTTTATACACTTGGCAATAAATTCGTTTAGTGCTGAAAAGTTTTTGCAAAATATCAGAGAGGACTACTGTGAAATATACTGTAAAGATTTATGCAAGACCAATGTTAGTGATAAAACGTGCATGCAAAATGGATCATCTATCATCTCAAATGGTTTTAATATGAATTTTGAAGATGGAAACTTGAAACTCACACGGATCAATAGCGACATCAAAGAGTGGGACATTACCCCAATTTCCAATGAAACTAATGTCAAACTGAATTCCTTATTTGTTTTTTATGACTCCACACTTCGTCCTGCAGTTTATTATCTCAGACATTTTGGTGTACAAGAAGTAACGGATTACTATATTAGTGGACCATTTGTTAGAGCACACGAGACGGATGTCAATTATTTAAATGGCTCAAAATCTCTTGCAATTTCTACCGTTACGTTAACAGATAATTCGATTGAATACATTCAGATGAGCAGCCTGAATTATCTGGAAGAGATTGAAATTGTTGCTCCAGATCAGGAATACTTCGAAATCTGGATGAACGACGATACTTTTGTGGGCACAACAAATTTAAAAGTTCTTCGCTTTACGAGAATGGATTTTACAAATCTTTCCGAAAAAGTATTCAACAGCTTGCCAAATTTACAGACATTAGATTTCAACAGTGTCCGTGTAGAGGATCTCTCGTTCTTAAGGTTCGTATTGGGATAGTTGTGAAAATTGTTCAACATAATAAGCAAATATATATATTAGGTTGAGCCAAAACAAAACTGTTTTCTTTATAATAAACGGAAGCCCCTAGTTTTGTTATCTTGTGTTAGATAGTTTTATTAATGTTTTTTTAACCAGAGGTTCATACCGAATTTAAAAAACTATTTACTAAGTAAACTTCAAACAAAATTATTGCGCCATGAATTGGAATCTGCAGGGTGCTCAAAATGCTACAATGTTGGCCCAGCCTAACATATCAAAACATATATAGAAAAAAAGTACATGATAACTTTTAAAATCTTGTATCAGAGATTAATTCAAATACATTAATTAATATGTTCGGGGCTACTGATAGTTATCATGAAATAAAACTTCCTCTTTCTGATATATTTGGGGCTATTTATCTATAAGAACATTCTGTATATTCGATTCCAAGTCTTGTTTTTCTATTCATAAAGTCATTTGGAATTTTTGCTTTTTTTTCATTTAGATCTGAGACTCTTCAGACGAGCCTAGTGAATGCAAATCTACGCGTCAATCGAAAGGTGGATATGAAATATTTCAAAGGTTACACCAAATTACAGTCTATCTATGTGGATGAATACGAACCCTATGAGAATCTGACAGCCATGATTTGTAAATTTGATGGAAATACCTGCAAATTCTCTGTTGGTATCAACGGTATAAAGTGTCCAGATAAATTTAGTTGCGAATATAAGTTGTCTACTAAGGATTTAGAATTAGTTTGTCAATATTGTAAACTTACAACAATTCCACCATTACCAATTGCGATTACTGGCAATACGGCACTGTTTCTGGATTCAAATGATATAGAAGAACTGCCAAAGAATACATTAAGTGGATATAATGACATAAAATAGTTAACTGTATCCAATAATAGATTAACTAGTCTTGCGATTGATCGGCTACCAAAAAATCTGCACAGTTTGGACATCCAAAATAATCGAATCAAAAGACTCGATAAAGATGTTATGGAATACACCTCAAAAATGTATTATTTTCAGCAGGCGGGAAACCTATGGAGCGTCAATTGTGATGACAATCTTATGCTGGATTTTCTGCATAATGTTTCCTTTAACCCGATCGAACCTGTTTTTTTTCATCATTTAAACGTATCGTGTCCAATTGGATGCCATTGTTGCTTTAACCGCAGCACGGATCACTTTATGATCGACTGTAGGCATTCTAATAATCAAATCTATCCTGATCTTCCGTATTCAATACCCTACAATGCCATCCTGCAGCTGGACGGGAATGAAATTACCAGCATTAAAGACTCATTGGGTCATGCTTCCCTGAGAGAACTTTATTTGTCTGATAACAAAATAAAGGACTTGCCATTCCACCTGATTCCCAAGAACATTACACATTTGGATCTACGAAAAAACATGCTGGAGGCTCTCGATGATCAGGTGGTCGATTTATTGAGAGATCGCGAGGTCCAACTATCTGGAAATCCCTGGACATGTGACTGCAGGGCAAAGAACTTTCTTTCATTTCTGAAGCAAAGGGAACCGCTGGAATATACCGCCGCCCTGGATCGTTGTAATATTTTCTCTGCAGGAAGATGTCCGGAGGCCTGCATTTGCTGTCTAGATAATTCTACGTTGCCTTCGTTAATTATCGATTGTAGATCTAAAGGACTCACAGAAATATCACCATTACCCACACCGATATCTGGACAATCCACTCTTCATTTTGAAGGGAATTATCTCGAGGCTTTGCACTCCAGTTCACTGCGCGGATATGCAAATGTAGGACATCTTTACCTGGCCAACAACCGACTGACGGCAATCGACCAATTGCCTGAGAATATAACAACTCTGGACATACGAAACAATAGCATTTCGGTGCTGAACCGGCAGTTGCGAGACTTCATAGACAAGAGAATAGCCGCCTCCACACAGCTGAAGTTATTGCTGTCTGGAAATCGCTGGACTTGCACTTGCGAGCACAAAGATTTCCTTCACTTTGTGAAGAGTCGCTCGCGGAATATTGAAAATGTTTTAGACCTCTACTGCGATGGTGGCACTGCAACGCTGCTGATCGAGATGGAAGAGAGTGATTTATGCCCTTCAGGCACCGTGTACTTTGTGACTCTCACCATTTCGTTCATGCTAATCATACTAACTATAAACATTATGATCCACTTCAAACAGCCCCTACTGATCTGGTTATACGAGCACAATGTATGCATGAGCATCGCCGCCCGAAGGGAATGCGAAAAACAGAAGAAGTTCGATGCATTTCTATCATTCACCCACAAGGACGAGGAACTGCTTGAGGAGTTCGTGGAGAGACTGGAGAGTGGCTCGAACAAATTCCGGCTCTGCTTCTATCTGCGCGACTGGCTGGTTGGCGAGTCCATTCCCGAGTGCATCAGCCAATCTGTGAAGGACTCGAAGCGCATCATCATCCTGATGACGAACAACTTCCTAAAGTCGACTTGGGGGCGACTGGAATTCCGTCTCGCGCTGCATGCCACCTCCCAGGATCGATGCAAGCGCCTCATTGTGGTCCTCTATCCCGAGGTGGAGAACTTTGATGACCTCGACAGCGAACTGCGCACTTACATGGTGATGAACACGTATCTCAAGCGAGATGACCCCAATTTCTGGAACAAACTAATATATTCAATGCCCCATGTTAATGTGCGACCACAGCCTGATCCAGAGGCAATAGAGCTTTCAGCTCTAGGCAATCGCAATGCTTGAAAATATCTTAAGCTTTCCTGCTAATTTTTTATTCTTATCTTAACCATTGTATTGAATAAAATATTTACGAATTTTACTCTATATGATTCTCATTTATGTACATTGCATCCATTCGTTTCTCTTCTCATGAGTAAAACAATAGAATAGGAGAATGCTAAGAATAACGGACAGCAATGTAAGGGGTGAGAAGCTACAAAAGCATAGAGTAACCGCGGCCTGCAGAAGAGTATACACTGAGAATACTACTCCAGGCTTCTTTTATAAACACAGAAAACATAAGTGATCAGAAATTGCAATAAAAAAAATATCACAGAAAAACCAACCCAAAAAAATATAAATAGGAAAAACCCAACAAGTGCCATGGCCATGCTCGATCCAGGTTTGTCTCAGGGGGGGCTGTGGCCCGTGGGTGTGCTGCCGGCGGCAGCGTTGGAATTTTAAAATTTTTGTTTTTTGTGATTAAAATTTGCGGCTGTCGCCTTCCGCTTCCACAAAAGACGAAAATCTTTGGCATACAAAATTCGCCACTCTTTCTCTCTCTCTCTCTTACACACACACTCTGCCTCGTGCAGTGTGTCTCAAAAGGAATTTCTATCGAGACACATTTATCACCCATATTGTCTAGTGGTTAGGATTGCCGGTGTAGGAAAATGTCAAGGGTTTTTTTTTTCAATAGTAATAAATAAATATTTAATTAGATTTATATATTTTACGCAAGAATTTGTCTTATTTCAAATTGCATATGATTTTTATTGTTTATTCAGTTTGGATATATAAATTACAGTTTATAATCCTTTATTTTTACTTCTATATTAGGAATGTCTAATATTTAAAGGAAAACGTATGTAGATGATTTAAACTATACAAAATAATTCATAATCCCAAATTTTTATACTGACTGAGTACGGGTATAAAAGTAGAGTCGCGTCCCCAGAAGCGACTCACACGTTCCTTCTCGTTTTATTTATTTATTATATCTTTGATATTAATATAATTCTATAAAATTTAAATTTGTTTTAAAACAGAATCAAGAAAAAAAAAACTTAGGAGAATGTTTACAAGTTTTAGGAAATATATGTAAAAAAAAAAAAAACAATACATTTTCCTCAAATATTATATGATTCCTGTGTGCCGTCACAAAAACGTTCGCTGGTGTTTATGGTCTTTCTGCCCTATCCCAAAACAATTTAGATAATTCCTGAAAACTTGGAAACTTGAAATTTAGTAAAACTTCAGGGTGAAAATTATGAAACGATAGAAAAGCAATGCCAAATACAGGACTACATCAAAGTACATAAAGAAAAGGAATTCGATTTAAATAGAGAGTGGGAGATAGTTTGAAAGAAAGTGAGAGATATAGAGAGAGAGAGAGAGAGAGAGAGAGAGTGAGAGAGAGAGAGAGAGATAGAGAGGAAGATGGAGAAAAAGTGCCGAAAGAGCTGCAGCTAACTGACATTTGACTGTCAGATGCTGTTGGCTCTCATTCGTTAATGTCAGAGGCAAGAGTTAATCTCGCGTGCATTTCAAAACAACAAAGAGAGGAGTAAAGAGAGAGAGAGAGACACAGGGAGAGATAGAGTGGGATGGTGAATGGGCAGAGGCGGAGGCAGAGGCGGAGGCAGAGTCGGAGTCAGAGTCAGTCAAGGTACGCACTGGTCGTCGCTTGGGATATATTGTAATCAAGCTTTTGTTTTTGCATCGAAGGGAGGAGAGAGAAGTAACCTCCAACGGGGCGGCAGCATGCAACAGAAGCAACATCAGGAACTACCAGAAAGACCAATGATGCAACTGCACTGTACACTGCAAGAAAATGTACAAATCGAAGCTTATAGAAAATGTGTCTCCAACAAGCAGCAATAGGTACACTACGCAATCGATAAATTCCTTCTGCAGAATATAATTTATTTAGCACTTCTCACGCATACGTTTCTCTCAGTGTGTTAAGTGAATGACTGACTGACGGACTGAGTGACGGTACTGCCAACTGGCGAGCAGAAGCATCAGCATCAGGGCATCGGGTCTGATGGATGGCTGAAAGGCAGACAAAGAGAACGAGAGAGAGGAGCCTGGGACATGGCCAGCATGTGCCCGTCCGGATGATTCCGGAATCCTCGCTTGGGATTGAGACTCGAAACTCCCCACCCACCTCCTCACCTTCCCACTCTTCCCTACTCTTTCCCCCTCAATGATGAATGCAGATACAGATACTATTTGTGGAAGGTACGAGGTACGAGTACACATGGTGGGCAGGCAGTTTGGTTTGGTTTCTGGGCCGGGAAGGGGCTGGGGCGTGATAAGTTGCCTTGGCTGGTCGCTGGCCAACTGAACTGCAACTGTCCATCAGGCTGCAACATTTGCATATGGCTCGCATTTGTTTCTGGCTCTGGCACAGGCCCCCGTCTCGGACTCGGACTCGAACACCAGACTCCAGACTCCCGGAGCCCATGCAAAATTGCTTTATGAATTATAAACAATGACCAGAGACCATCCACAAATGCGAATGCGAATGCACACACAAACACACACAGGCACTGACACAGACAACTCCTCCGATGAGCGGGGTCCCCATGCCCATTTCCATTTCCATTCCCCATTGCCATTCCCCCAACTGCTCGTTAGCTGCAAAACTATATTTGTATATTCGGACAATTCTGGCTCTCTCTGGCTTTGGCCTGACAGTGATTATGTCGCCAAGTGACATCCATCAGCATCTGGGTAATTTATTGCCTCCAGTACTCCAGTCGGAGGCCCAAAAGATTGCCATCCCCTCCCCAGCAAGTGGCTCCATATGGAGGAGAAACAACAAGTATTATGGCTAACAGGTGCACTCATATTTTTCTGTGGGGTTCTGTGACGAAACGAAAAACAAAAAAAATATTTCGGTAAAGAAATATGTATGTACATATATGTATGTACATATGTGTTGTATGTTCGAAAAGGAATTAATTTTTAATTACTGGAAATTTATTTTCTCCTTTTTGACCAGGCTTGAAATAACTTTGTGAATATGAGTAGGTTCTAAATACAGTAAAGCTTCAATAAGTTGGCCAGGATATACAGTCTCTGAATCTTAAATATCTTTATTTTTTATATTTATGTAATAATAAAAAATATAAAAATAAAATATAAAATAAATAAAGAATGTAAAAATAAAAAATAAATGAATTATAAAAAAACAAATTTTAAAATAATTGTATTTTAAAAATTAAAATACAAACAAAATTCAATTTAATTTAAAAAGTAAAGAAAAATCAGACACATTTTTTTTTTTTAATTAAAATTCCTACAATACCTGGTTAAAATAGAGGTATTACTTGGGTTACCCCCTATACACTATTCCACATAAAGCCATCAACTACTGTCAGCCCTTCAGTGTGTCTTCTGTTTTAATATACAGTTTATTATACCGAAATATGAAAATGTGAAACTTTTCGCACTTGTCTCAAGCACACACACCAACCAACCGACATTTATTCATATTTATTTAGACCATGGCTCTGACTTTGGCACGACTTTGCCACATTTACGTTGACTTTGGGGCCCGGGCCGGGCCGTGTGGTGGTTGGAGGTTGGCGGTTGGCTTCCAGACCCATGATATAGTGGCAAAGTAATTTGAAATGAAAATTAATGACATGCAATCAATTCTGGTAGTCGTCGTTATTTGTTATTTTGATGACTTGCCTTGTTGGCCACACTCTTTGCTTTCCAGCAAGCCACCAAGCCACCAAGCCACCACCCCACTCCTACACTCAGTCACTCACTCACTCATTTGTCAAGGGCAAAACAATTGGGAGCATGAAAATGAAATATGTCTGCCCGTTGGGAAGTAGCTCAAGCTGTGCGAAAGAAAGAGCTAAAGATAGAGAGAGAGAGTGGGAGAGCGAACGAGATGGTGAGAGTTTGCTTTTAACCGCAATATGCTTAAGTTGCGGTTATTTATTGTCTGGCATTTATAGTGTGCCCAAAGCGGAGAGAAAGAGAGCGAGAGAAGGACTCTGGCCGCTGCTCTGTTTTCTTGTCATATTTTCTATATACCCTTTTTAGAGGGTATTCGAATTTAACTTTTATTTGTTATTTATTATATATTTATTTTGTTGTTTATTTATTTATTTAATACCCTTTAAAGTATATATATATATATATATCTTATTTGTTTGTATCCATAGAAGAGTCCGTAAGGACTTGTATTTCTGGGAATTACTTCCCGAACCCTATAGCCCTACTCTTAACTATACTTTGGGATTTTATGACAGAGTACCTGAAAAAAAGGATAAGAATAATCGCATCACGATATCCCATAGATATGCCTTAGGAATTTCCTCATATACCCATGACAGGAACGATTCTAATCTCTAATATTTCTGTCCTCCCCCCACCAACCACAACAATTCCCTACTACTTTTTGTTGCACCCCTTGAATGGCTGCTTCTTTTTCGTTTGATTCGTATCGACATATTTCGTCCGCATTTTGTATTCCGGCTGTCAACGCCAAAAGTTCAAAATGATCAGCAACGCCGCCCCCACCACAACCCCCCATCCAACAACAAAAAAAAAACCCCTTCTCTCTCTCTCTCTTTCTCTCTCTGTGCTGCTTTCTACGTTATTTGGGCTTTACTTCTTTTTGGTTTTTGCTCCTCAATGAGTGACTGACATGAGCTTACGTTTTTAGCGCCCCAACCACCCACAACCCACCACCCACCCCACGCCTACCCCACCTTCATTCAAGGCTGATTGATGGGCGACAGCAAAAAAGTTGGCACTTGCTTTGGCTCTGTGTGTGTGTGTGTGTGTTGTGCCAGAGAATCCCCAGAACCCAAAAAAAAAAGCAGCAAAAAATTGCCCTTGGCTATGGACAACCCACCAGCACAACACTCAACGAAATAAGTCATCGCGTGCAGTGTAGACATCAAGTCAAAGCCAAGATTGATTAGTTATTGAAAAGACATCAGCTGGAGGGACTTGCGCAACTCCAAAGATACAGCTCAGCCTGCTGATACCCTGTAGTTGGCCATTGCCTGCGAGGAATACAAATTTAGACAAATATTTGTTGAATTTATTTTTAGCCATTTAATGGGAGTTTTGCTACAGCTTATTCTCTATTTTTTCTCTGTGTTAGTTGAATAAATTCTGGAACGTTGGAACATTTAGACAAATAATTTCAATAACTTAAAATTAGCAAGAGACACTCCAAAGTTTCGCTCAGTGTAATCACTTTTGTGGCAGCTCGCCTCCAAATAAGTCATAATGATTTTTGATCGATGCGCCCAAGTCGGAAGACGTCAGCGAATCATTAACAAAAAAAAGAACTGAAACCCCTTCCATTCCCGGTCTCTGTGTGGCTGATTATGGAGCGCTTCTCGATTCCCTGTGCATAATCATTTTCAATAAATAATTTTTGCTGCCAAACCCCCCACCCATCCCCATTCGCTCCCCCCCCCAAAACTTCCACTCGGTTTTCGGTTTTTCTCATCCCTTATTATTTTGTTGTTGTTGGCATAATGACAGAATGACAGGATAAATTACTGCCAAATGAATGAGGCAAAATATGTCTTAAGCGACACACAGATATAGCCACACACACACATACACACTCACTCACTCAGTCAGACAGCCACGCCCACTTGGCGCTGGCAAAAGCCAAACATCAAACATTATTTTTCTCTCGGTCTATACCTGTTATACGAACTGAATAAGTGGGTATATTGGCCATGTGTAGAGTTATGTAATGAGTAGAAGAATTTATTGCGCAGTCTTTGAGGCTTATTCCAGATCAGCACCGAAAGATAATCGATATAGACTCAGATTGAGTATTTCTATACTACACTTTGAATATCTTTAAAGCTTTTAATGTCCATATAAAACTAGAGAAACCTTTGGTGTGGCTTTAAGGGTATGACATCAAAGGATTCTAGCAATTAAAATGTTTTTTTTTTACTCTCTTATACAATTATCTATATATATTATATACCGATGTGACATATTTTTAATTAAAAATAATAAAAGTTCTTGTATAATATATTTTCTATTTATTTTTAATCATTGTTGGCCTCCTTCAGATATTTCCATACACATTAACGGGTATCTTATAGTCGAAATATCCATTATATATTTTCTACTTTGTTGCTGTTGTTGCGTAATTTACCACCAAACAGCAGAGTGGATGATGAGGAGGGGATGGGATGGATGGATGGATGACGCCCGCATGGGTAAAATTAATAGGCATAATAATTTTTTGACAGCACACCCAAGGATAACGTACGCACACCCGTACGGACACACAGACAGACGAGCTGCAACCCATCAGAGTCCTTTGCATGCGGTGGTAGTAGATATATATATTTTTTTTTTTGGCCCTACCCCTCATCTTTTTGTGATGGGGAGAAAGACACGTTGAGTGACGGGCAGGTTGATGATAAATGATGTCGCTGATGTTGGGTCCCTCCGGCACCCGGTACTTGGCTCTTGCCACGTCATGGAGGCAATCATTTGGGGTAAGGCTCCCCATATCGCCTCTGGCCTCTGACAGAGACAGTCGTTGGCTCAGTCGTCGCCTGATTACTTTGATGACGTTGCCACATATTTGTTATATATGTACGTCGTACTCGTATGGCAGGCTCACAGGAATGAAATTCATAATATTTTGTGCACTCTCACTTAGGGCCTGAAATCGAAGGAATTTGTTTTTTTTTTTTTTTTTCCTTTTTTGCTCTTGGCATAAGGGAAGTTGAATAATTCTGTTCGTATTATTTATTTAGGTAAAACTATTTGGTATTATTTATTTAGGCAGCACTCTGGGGAGCGATAATATTTCCTATTGATCTTAAATGTCTGTTTCACAATTACTCATACCCATTCCTCTGTTGACATTCTTTGAATGGGGTTTCCTGTTCCTGTAGGAGCTCAATGCTTGATTATCATATATTGTTTAAAAACCTTCGAGAAGAGAATAATGAAACGTAAAAAGAGATGGGTATAGGGCACTGGATATTTGATATTTACAGAGCACTTTATGGCATGATCATCTATCCAGACTCTGACTATTGGAAATTGTTTAGGGTTATATCTATAGATAATTCGAACTCAGAGTTAGAGAGGCATCTGTGTATTTAGAATATAAATTACTGGGCGTGAAATATGATAAAATATCGATGCAAAATGGGATAATTTTTTCTGATTTGTATGCGTAATTTATTTAGCAGCGTATAAATAAATTATTTCTTTACCAACAAAAATTAATATATATTATTTTCGATTATATGTTGAGCTTGGCCAAATAATGTTGATTAATTAATTGATGAAATGTTTTTGGTGCGTGTGTCGTCCTGACATTGAATAATTGCTTTCCATTTGGCCAATAACTAAACGCGTCAGCACGCTGCTCCGCTGCCCCCTTGGCCGGGTATGTTCCATCCATTTACAGAATATATGCCTAGAAGAGAAAAGACCAACCCAACCAACACAAGAAAAAGTTAAGACAGAATCCATGTGATATGTGCAAAGTCATCAGGATCTAATCTATCAGTGGCGATGTGTCAATTTAAAGTGTGAGAAAATTGCTGGGGATGATGGATGCGTGGATGGATGGATGGTTGGATGGTTGGATGGATGGATGGATGGATGATGATAATGAAAAGAAGAAAAAGTAATTAGTGCGGTTCAATGATGTGTGCATTCATCATTTTTCACGGAAATATTTCCAAAATATACAAATAATTGAGTTATAGGCAGGAACAGAGGCCTTTAAAAGTTTAATAACAAAAATTTGCGCCATAATTGAATGGATATCAGCCCATAAAATATATGCATATATTCCTGTTTCTTATGTTTTTAAATTTAAATGCACAGTTTGGTTTGAGAAGCACAGAGTCGGTTTCCTACTTTGACAAGCACTTGCAAACTTGCTCACTTTTACTTTCATTCTTGCTGTTTGAGAAGCTTTGTCTCTGTGTGTTGTAGTTTGACAAGCACTCGAAAGCTCGCTCACTCTCACTCTCACTTTCATTTTTTTTTTCTTGTATTGTGCAGTTCTCTCTTCGCCTTCAAATCTGCATGCCGTGACACAAAGAGTAAGACTATGGCGAGAGAACCATCCTCATATCGCTCTCCCTTGTCTAAGCGCACTCTTTATCAGATCACACACTCACACCCACACCCACACCCACGCACTGTCACTGCTCATCTCGCGCTCTCCCTCTCACTACTTGCGGCGTTGACCACGCGCGGTCTCTGCTGCTGCTCCTGCTGCTGCAATTAATAAATTGATTAAAGTACTTAAAACCAAACCAATTGCAATGCAATTTGTGTGAAAATGTGGCCAAATGTCTGTCTGGCCGCATAGTGTTATTAGTTTTGTGCAAAGTCGGCGTTAAATATGCATAAAATGTGTGTTTTAATTGCGAACAGCAACATTTTTCACAGCATTCCAATGGTAAATGTTCACGTGTATGTGTGTGTGTGTTTCTAGCCAAACCGTTTGAGCTGCGCATTAATTGAGTGATTTTATGTATAAGAGTGTTACTCAAACAAAAACAGAATAAAATCAACTCTAAGTCGGAAACTATTGACCCTGGGGGCCATAGGAGAACTTTATTAGAGGCGCCAAAGAGAGTTAACCGAACAATGCGAAATAACTGAAATGAAGTGAACACGAACCCAACCCAACCCAACCCGATACCCGTACGCCATGAAATGGCTCATAAATAAAACAATTGAGTGAAAACATAAATCAAACACTTAATACAATAGTTTCCGCTTTTGTTACTCTCGCATTATGTGTTCGTTTGCAACCTCCTTCTACCCCACTGTGTGCTGTGCTGTGCACTCGCATAAAATGCTCATAAATTAAAATAACTGTAAAACAAGAAAGGTACAGTTGAACCGAAGCAAGGGATACCCTAGACAAGCGGGTCGCTTCTATGGTTAATTTATCATATAATCAGATGATTTTGTTCTTATTTGGTAAACAAAATATTGTAAATCCCTTGGCTTTTCGACAGATAGTTCCTATGACATATTGTAATCCGATCTTTACTCTTTCAGCTGCTGCAAAGGATCGAAGAACAGGTCATGCTGCGCATTCCAGGACACTGTATGTGTTTTCAACACGCTTTCCTCGCCAAATAATAATGCCCTTTACGAAGGGTATAATAAACCCATTGTGTGGATTGCCAGGAGTGCTGTGCGGGCTGTGGTGTGTGGCCATTGTGAGGGTCTCTCAGTGCCTCCTCACTAGGCCTGGAAATTAGCATACAAACTGTCTGGGCAGAAAATCCACCCATTGAGAGAGGGAACCGACTCGAACCAGGTGAGTCGCACGATAATATTAATATGTACCTCACTTAATCATAAATGCCTGGCGACATGCAAAGGCCCTCCCCATCCCCCCCGCTTCATCCTGTGCCACAATTGATGTATGGAGCGTACTGCCAACCCGTTTTGCATACCCTTTCCATGGGAGTATTATGGTTTTTGCAATAAGAAAAAAAATAACTGAAAAAATAGAGATCAAACTTAAAATTGAAAATATTACGTAACGGAAAATATATAAAATTGGTTATAATAGGAAAAATAATAACAATAATAGGAACAATATTATAACCAATTTTATATATTTTCTATTAAGTCATATTTTAATTTTTAATTGTGATCTCTCTTTTTAATTACTATTATTTTTTTTATTTTATTTTTGGTATTATTATTTTTTTGGAATACCATTTAAAATTAAAATTATTGAAAATGAACTTTTTGCTGCTTAGCTACTCTGTGAGAGAGACCTAAATACATAGCTTCCATGTCCAATTAAATGTCATTAAAGGGTAACTAAAGCTTAGGTCTCTTTTTTGTCTCTCTCTCTCTCTATCTCTCTCGTTAGTTGAAAGCTCAGTCGCCAGGTATTTGAAAATTGGGCGTCTCGCTGCCAACAAGTTGCATGTCGCTAACTAGTTAATAATAATGCCTTTGGACAACAACAACAACAATAACAACAAAAAGAGTGGCAACCTGTATGACGTGACGCATTGCATGACATGCATGCATTGTGGGTAGGGAGGGAGGTAGGTAGGGAGGTGGTGTTACGGCGAGAGCCACCCTAAATACGAGCCGAAACTAAACCAAATTAGAAGCCTTTTCATTTTGTTGTTGGATAATTTATGAGCCAGCACTTTTCGAGTCAATTCAGCCAAGCGTTAATCGTCGTTTGACTCGTTTTTTCGTTTCGTTTCGTTTTTCGTAGGCCCAACCAACAATGGGCATAACTTTGAAAACAAGTCCAGTCCACCACAGAGACAGAGTGATAGAGAGCGGGTCGGGTTCCGTTCTCAATGGTATGCTCGGTACGGTGCGGGGGGTATGCGAGCACTACCCGGGCACGGCACTCTTTTGTCGCATTGTCGTCGTTTGTCCGCCTGCCCACATGACGGCTACTGTTTTGTTACTACACTCGTATTATTGTAATTTGCCAGCTCCGGCCACAAGAGGGGGCCCCATGGGCATGCCCCCAGGTCTCTGAATGCCTGCCTGCCTGCCTGCCACGTTGACAGCGTGTCATTTTCATATCGTTTTGTTTAGTCATAGTCACTGTGTATGTGTGTGCCGCCCCGTCTTCTCCTCCTGTACTCTTGTACTCTTGTTTCCTCGCTTCAGTTAACTGGTTTACTTTTCTGTGTGTTTTTTTTTCTATGGTTTTTCCTCGCTTTGGACTCTTTTTGTTGTTGTTGTTGTTGTTGTGTTGCCATCTATGGCATATTTCATAATTAATTGTGAAATTATACGCAGACATATGCAAAAATGGTCAGTCATAATTTTTCATGCGGTTGTCAGTTTTTTGCCCTTACAAAAAAAAAAAAAAACGAACAAAGTGGAAGGCATAGCGAAGTGGTTATTAATGTTGCAAAGTTCCAGAAAATAATAGATGGCGGATTAAACATATAGAATGCTTTGCAGTTGGCCTTAGGCCGGGTAAAAAAAAAGGGTTGCACGCGCTCTCTTCCAGTGTGGCTTAGCATGAGCCTCCAAAGAACGCAAAGGTAGCTGTATCACAGTGAGAAATATTTTTATGTAATTCAAATTTATTTTCTACATTTTCAAAAATGTTACATAAATACAAAAAAAAAGTTCTTTAAGTGTATTTCCGAGTATTTACCATATATGTATTTATTGAATTTTTTTAATTTATGTTCATGTTGTTTCTCTTAAAGCCTCGTAAACCTTCCTTTTTCTGCTTCTTACTCGTATATCCATTTTGGCGTTTCCCTTTCAACACGTAACGGCACGCAAGGATTTCAAAAGAATAGGTTCATGCCACATGCCTCCGAAGGCTGTCAGAAGTTTGAACTCTTACAATTCATAGAAATTAATTGGTTTCCATGACGGCGGTGGCAGTGGCAGTGTCCGTGTTGCGGAAGGAACTACTTGCGGACAGGGAATGTTGATGCGACGACGACTACATAAAAGTTGTATAAAATGGGCTAAAAATCATTAAGGGGAGGGGAGGCCAATGCAAATCAGGAAACAACCTCAACACCTGCTCGATTCACAAAACTTGAAGGGCCAAACGTCACTCCAACTCACTCACTCCATCAGTCGAAGAAACGGCGGAGTAAACCCTAGTGGAAAAGCAACTGAACCGTCATTCCCACTGGTAAATGGAGGTTGTATGGGGGGACGTGTGACGTGTCAACTGTCAATTTGTATTTGATATGCTGTCACTTGGGGGGTTGTATAGAGAGACCCCAACCTCAGAGAAATCACAACAAATAGACGACAATTGACAGCCCACAAGTGAAATGTGAATAAGCAGACAGTCGCGTTGGGTGGTGGTAGAGCAACAGTGGAGAGACACCGAAAGCGTATTTAGTTTGGTGATTATTCTCTGTACTTAAACGTAGACGTTTCACTGTACCGTAAACGGTGGCGGCGCCCACCGCGGGCACACCCGGCAATTGAACTTGCATTGGGCGGGCGACGCCTTGCCCCCCTCCAATTCGACTGCTGCTAAATGCTCGTGTCAGGAGACTTTATTTGTCTTACTTATTTATGTTTATGTGCGTTTCATCCACACGCTGCTCTGGGGCGTTTGCTAAATTAGGCGCACGTCCGTTCCGGGGATGGAGGATTGGATGGAGAATGGTGGGGACTGCGGATGTGGGGCCTACCCACACGAACTTCTTCTCTTAGCAGCAGCAGCAGCAGCAGCAACAGCAAGGCAGCAGCCAGCAGCCAGCAGCTAGCAGCTAGCAGCTGTGCCTAATTTATTTCATTGGACGTGCCCCCGTTTTGGCCAGCCCATCGACTCGAATCAAACGAACCCGAACCGAAACGAACCGAACGAGAAAACCCAGAACGAATCCCACAGTTGGAAGATTTATTTCATTCTGAAGCACATTAAAATTTTACAAATTGCTTAAATCAAATAAATGGCCGCGTTTATGTTGATAAATTGAGTTTTTGTATAGCGAAGGGGGGCAAGTTTCCTGATTCACACAACTTGGGATTTACAAGGGTGATGGAATTAGTGGAATGGTAAAATATTTTAAAACAAGAACTGGAATTAGTTGAATTGAAGAATATTTGAAATGGATTTTGGCTACCACTAAAATATAATTTATAGTTGCATCCAATTTAAAGTTCAACGCAAAGCAGAACTATAACAGTGTTTCCATCATCACTTAAGTGTGCTTCCGATAACGATAAGTATTTTTTTTTTTTTTTTGGTTTTATATGGATATGGGTGTACACCTAAGTGACTCTTTTGCATAATGAATGAAGGAGTGAAAGAGCCGAAGAGCCGAGAAGCAACTTAACGACTTGACATCTGCAGACATGGCCACCATAATACTTTGTATGTAAATTTTGCCAATAAAGTAATTTCTTTTAATGAGCCGCGGGCATCGCCACAGAACCAGAGAGAGGCCAAAGAAGCAAAGAAGATATGGGAGAACGAGGAGAGACATTAAGTATCGCATAAAGTAACAAAATGAATTAGGCCCCGACATGATGATGATGATGATTATGATGATGATGATGGTGATGGTGATGATGGTGGTAGAGCAGTGGAAGTGCTGCTGCCCCTATCAACGTGGTAGTCTCTCGAACGCGCGGAAGTAATTGAGTTAAATATGCACAAGATGACAGCATAAATTATGCGCCACAGAAGAACATAAGAAACAAAAAAAAAAAAAAGAAGAGTTAAATGTGGTCTTGTGGCAAACAAAAGGGCCCGGAGACGAGAGAAGAGGAGAGAAGTAGAACCCCCAGAACTCGGCCCGAAGACAGCAAACAAAAGGCAACAAATGAGGGGAAAACCTACTTATCAACATCATGGGAACCGAATGGAAATACATACATACACAGAAAAACCCTCCACACAACCGGGGGTTGCAAGTACTTGAAAAAGTGTGCATAACAAATTTCGATAATGAACTATGAAATTTTTGTAGCTTCGCCTCGCGATTGTAACCCTTTTTTTTTTCTCGTGTGTCACAAGGATTTCGATTTTGGAATTTATTTTGCTGTCATAAATTTTGAAATAACAATTATTGCCATTTGTAGCGCTCGAAATTTGCATACTCCACGGCTGTCCCAAAAGGAAGACATATTTCATGCTGCCCATTGTCAGAAAATGTATTCAAGAGCGACAGGAATGAGGGGAAAGAAATGCAGGGAATACTCGTACCATTAACAATGCCACGAATATTTTACTGTTTGGTGGAAGATCAAAATTTAGCCCAAAAGTCCTTTCGCTCAGGCGAAATTTGTGTACTATAAAAATCAAGTAAACTGTGTCACGTATGCTTCTGTTTTTATCAATACTCGGACTTGATGAAAAACTGGTCCGTCGCTTAGACAGTTCTGAAAAAAAATACCTATTTTCCAAACCATACATCTGAATTTTGGCGAGATTTTTTTTTACATTCTCTTTGAAAATTCCTTTACCTGAGTTGTAAAATGTTAAATATGTTTTATAATAAAAAATAATATTTTATGTTGGTTATTTTTTAAAATTATATTAGATTTAAAATAAAAATGTTCACTAAGTTTTGGAGTGAAAATGACCATTAAACTTTTTTTAATCGATCCAGAATCCAAAGTTTTGCATTTATGCACCGCAAACAGAAAAATATGCACCGCAATCAAAGTTAAACTTTGACTATTTATTGTAAAGCTTCCACACATTGTTGCGCCAATTTTCTAAACTCATGCAGACAAAATTTAAAAGGATTTTTTATATGCTTTTTATTTTATTAAAATATCTTGATTCGTTTAATATTTATTAATTTTGCAAGCTGAGAAGGTCGAAGGCGGCCCCTCTGTGCGACATCTAATCATAATGGTCAGTTGCTCCCAGTTAGGGGAATAGAACTTTCTGAAGATACAAAATAAATACGTAACTAAAAATTCATATAATAAATTACAAATTTTGTAAAATACATATATATTTACATTTGGCGCTTCATAAAAGTATTCATCGACATAATCGCTACCATTTCTACGATTGAGTATTTTCTGTATCCTAAATAATTATTAATCGACTTGATTTTGTAGGATTCTTCTTCCATGTTGAAGCTAATGCCTTGAACAGGTGCGATTGAACCGTTCGCAAGTTTCACTTTGATAAGAATTTCGTGTGGCGTTGCATTTGTCATCAGATACATATTCTTCCGGCCGATAAAAAAGGAACCATTTGTGTCGTTGAAACCTTGCTCTTTATATTGCTCAAGCTTTTGGTTTAGCCTCGCCAATCCCTCATTTTCTTGCAAAATGACTGTCCAACCAGATGCCTCTTCCCCAGGTAAATGTATCGCATGAGTCTCGCGGCTGGATGTCCGACAGCCTTTTGGCCCGACATTATCCAGCTTCTGCCTAATATAGTATTCCACCTTCTGTTTTAGGATCTCATCCTTTTCCTTAATGGTTTTCTCCTTTTGTTCCAGTAATTCATTTTTGCTCTCCAGTTGCTTCTTCATTTTCTCAATATCATCGTGCAGGTCATTGATGGTATTGTCTTTCTGTCTGCATAGCTTTTCCAATTCCCCACTCAGTTCCACCCTGAGGTTCTGCACCCTATCGAGGGTTTCTTTTATGTCTAGCCTTAGTCCAGTAGAACTTCGCTCATCTCCCAACTGTTTATGCAGTATTTCTACTTGACTTTTGCATTTGGTAACATCGAAATTTTTGGCTTGAAGTTGGTTCTGCATGTCTTGCATTTTCAGATCCTTCTGCTGGCATATTCCCACGTATTTAAGCAATGGCTTGACAGTGGGATAGCAAACGGCAGCGCATTCTTCTTCCAGCTCCCTTGACACAAAACACGACTGCGAATAAATTATAGAAAAAGCTTTCAGATATGTTGCGATATCTTAATATTTTCTTTGATTTAAGTTTCACATTTGAGGAAGTTGAAATGTTTTTCAAATGAAAGAATATTTGTTCTCACCTCCTGGTCTTCGTAGTAATCGGAAACTGCCGTCAAATTCTCCGAAAAATTAATAAAAACCAACACGATAATGAAAATATTCAACATATTCTAAGACTATGGCGTGATGTGTCACGAGTACAACGGAATACCAACTGATTTATGATTTCGATTAAAAGCTCGATGAAGTCTGGACCTCTCAGAATGGAGCTCTTATCTGGATTGCTCAGAGCTGGATTATATACCATGGGTTTTTCACTGGTCCATAGCAGCTGAAGGTTATCAGATTTTGGGATGAGCAGTCAGTGAGGGTTCCATCGCCTTGGAAGTGAAAAGTGAAAGTTTGTAAATTTTCCAATCGTTTTCCAGACACCTTTCCACCTTACACCGTCAACAACTAAAACGCAACTGATTTTGTATTTGCTCAGGAATTGTATTTATAACGAAAATTATGCAGAGGTCTTTCTTTCTCTGATAATGCAAATAGAATTATATATTGTTATGTGTGGGATGAGTATGGTGTATGAAATCCCATTGACTTTCATGTTATCAACAGTGAGGCTTGATGGGACCTTGGAATATGTATTTGTGAAAATGTATAAGTACTGGTGTATACACTCACGAGATTGTGAGTTAATTAACCAAGCTAATCTATCTAATTGGCTGGTTTAAATGAAAGCTGAAAGAAATCTATGAATATAAATAAAAAATATGAATTAAATGTAATAAGTATAAAAAATATAGTGTGCGGAAAAAAAACATCCACATTTCCCATCATCGAAGAGCCTTTTTATTAATTCACTATTTATTCAAATAAAATGTTATATTATTTTTAGTTTTTTCGGGGCGTCTCACTAATCATAATTTGTGACAGAATTCCCAGGGTAAATGAACTCCTATTAGACTTAGATTGAAGGTAGAGTATAGCAGAATCATTCAATATTAAATCATTAGTTGCAACGTCTGAGCATAATGGTCAGTTCCTTCCATTTAGGAAGATCGAGTTTTTTTAAGTAAAAAAATACATACACAAAATACGTATACAAATTACGTTTCATTAATAGCTTCGTCGACAGAATCGCCTCCAGTTCCAACATTGAGTATTTTCTGTTTTCTAAATAATTATTAATCGACTTGATTTCGTAGGATTCTTCTACCATGTTGAAGCTAATGCCTTGAACAGATGCGATTGAATCGTTCGCAAGTTTCACTTTGATAAGAATTTCGTGTGGCGTTGCATTTGTCATCAGATACATATTCTTCCGGCCGATAAAAAAGGAACCATTTGTGTCGTTGAAACCTTGTTCTGTATATTGCTCAAGCTTTTGGTTTAGCCTCGCCAATCCCTCATTTTCTTGCAAAATGACTGTCCAACCAGATGGCTCTTTTCCAGGTACTTGGATCGGACAGCATTTTGGCCCGACATTATCCAGATTCTGCGTAATATATTTCTTCTTCTGGCTTAGGATATCATCATTGTCCTTCCTGTTTTTCTCCTTTTGTTCCAATAATTCATTTTTGCTCTCCAGTTGCTTCTTCATTTTCTCAATATCATCGTGCAGGTCATTGATGGTATTGTCTTTCTGTCTGCATAGCTTTTCCAATTCCCCACTCAGTTCCACCCTGAGGTTCTGCACCCTATCGAGGGTTTCTTTTATGTCTAGCCTTAGTCCAGTAGAACTTCGCTCATCTCCCAACTGTTTATGCAGTGTTTCTACTTGACTCTTCCATTTGGCAACCTCGTAATTTTTGCCTTGAAGTTGGTTCTGCATGTCTTGCATTTTCAGATCCTTCTGCTGGCATATTCCCATGTATTTAAGCAATGGCTTGACAGTGGGATAGCAAACGGCAGCGCATTCTTCTTCCAGCTCCCTTGACACAAAACACGACTGCGAATAAATTATAGAAAAAAGCTTTGAGATATGTTGCGATGTCTTAATATTTTTTTCGATTTAACTTTCACATTTGAGAAGTTTTCCTTTTTGAAATTTAAGAATATTTGCTCTCACCTCCTGGTCTTCATAGTAAGCGGAAACTGCCGTCAAATTCTCCGAAAAATTAATAAAAACCAACACGATAATGAAAATATTCAACATATTCTAAGACTATGGCGTGATGTGTCACGAGTACAACGGAATACCAACTGATTTATGATTTCGATTAAAAGCTCGATGAAGTCTGGACCTCTCAGAATGGAGCTCTTATCTGGATTGCTCAGAGCTGGATTATATACTATGGGTTTTTCACTGGCTCATAGCAGCTAAAGGTTATCAGGTTATGGGATGAGCAGTCAGTGAGGGTTCCATCGCCTTGGAAGTGAAAAGTGAAAATAAATATAAAAAAGAACGGAATAATTAACAGTTACCATAGAATACCAATGGTATAATTAAAAAAAAATGTTGATACAAACTACCAGATACAAGACCATTTATTTTTATTTAATTGTTTAATAATAATATTATAATAGTATTTCTAGAATTTCACTATATTTTAATAGATTTAGATCTTAGATCTTTTATTTTTTTCCGGTGTATTTATACTAGTTTTGTTTATGTTTATAGTTTTAAAAATAGTTAAAACTAATGCCTGGCAGGGGGTTTTGACCCTCTATGCTCCAGAATCTGCGCAATATTTTCCTCCTGCTATTTTAGTTTCCTATACTTTTCGTTAATGTTTATTTCCTGTTGTTTTAATAGTTCATCCTTGCTCGCCAGTTGTTTCTTCAATTTCTCGATTTCTTCGTGCACATCTTCGTGGAAATATTTTAGCTCGGAATTAAGTTTAGATTGCACATTTTGGACACCATCAAGTACACTATTCAGGTCACAAAAGTTGTTTTCAAACTGCTGACTAAGCCTCTTTGCTTCACTTTTACACTCTATGGTCTCATCGCTTTGCTTTCGTACCTTTTCCTCAAGTTTGTAAATTTTCAAATCGTTTTCCTGACACCTTTCCAAGTACTGAAGCAGGGGCTTAACAATGGGATAGCAAACGAAACCGCACTGATCTTCCAGATCGCTTGAAGTGACACACGACTACAAATTGTATTTCAGAGATTTAACAAACATTAATCTTTAATCATTGAATGCTATAACCTGTTGCTCAGTATCCGCCAGGGAATCAACGGCAGCCAAATAGATAAGGCCAAGCATAATGTTGAACAAATGATTCGAGTAATTCATTCTCATTATAATCCTTGATACTCCTCCACGTCAACAACTGAAACACAACTGATTTTGTCTTTGCTCAGGAATTGTATTTATAACGAAAATTATACTGAGGTCTTACTTTCTCTGATAACACTGCTCGACAAAATTGAACTTCGAACCGCTTCGAGCCTTTTAATTTTTTGTAGAAAATTTTTTTTTTCAGAATTTTGTTTTTTACATATGTTTGCAGCTTAGGTATCGTTCAGCTGATTTTAATGATCTTTGTCATTCTATATAGCTGATAAATGCAGCTATATAGTGAACCTAAACACTTTGTAGCTTCAGCATACCGTCTGGAAAATATTAATCATTCAAATGCCAAATTTATGCTTTTTTTTAATTTTCACTTTAAGAATTAAGGAAAAATCGAACAAAAATTATATCCTGTGTTCTTATATTTTTTGTGTTCATTAAAATCTATGAAGAAACGTCTGAGCTAAAATTGGTTGACCAAAACTCCGAAAATCACATTTTACCACTTGAAACGTTGCTGGCCCAATATTTTGGGCCCTTTTTACTCAGAACCTGCAGCGCAGATATAAAAAAGAATAATAGGTTGACAAGAAATTACACCAGTTTTTACAAGTTTTTTCATTCGTGGTGATAGCGGAAAAATGGTGTCGGTTAGTGTAATGCAAATAAATGTATATTTTGTTATCTGTGGGATGAGCATGCCATATAAAATCCCATTGGTTTTCAACACTGAGGCTTAATGAGACCTACGATTTATTTGTGTACATAAATACTAGGAAATATTTAAATTCGTATCAGCTTTAAATATATATAAATTCATTCACATGATTGTGAGTTCATTAAACAAGCTAATCTATTAAATTGGTTGTCTTAAATGAAAGCTGAAATAAATCTCTTATTATAAATAACAAATATAAATAAAATATAATAAATATTAAAAATAAAAAAAATATATATATATATATAAATAAAATATAATAAATATTAAAAAAAAAATATATATATAGTGTGCAACATTTTGTTGTTGTTCCTTGTTAATAATAATATTGATCCGACCGCAACGTGTTCCTTTAGTTGAAGAATGTCTTTATGATTTTGTGTGTTTCGATTTTCTCATATCGAGAAATCCGACGAGAATCTGATTCATTATGCATTTTACCATTACGATGCCACTCAGTACAAAACTCATGTGCTGTATGGAATTTTATGAGCATCGAAGTAAATTTGAATGAACAGAATTGTGCCATAAACGATAAAAACTTGAAAGGGAATATTTTTTGTGAGCCCATACAATGCCTCCTCCAATGATGATATTTGTGGGAAATTTAAACTCAATTTTTATATTCGACTACGGACGAACAGACACACAAAATAAATCAACTGTGAACATTTTTTCCTAAGGCCCCACCCCCCACCACATCTGGTCATAAAGTTAAAATTTGTTACACAATCTGTACGAAAATATGTTGGAAATATGCAAATTTCCTTTAGTCCAAAGAATATTTTACGGCTCTTGTGTGTGTGAGTGAGAAAAGTTTTTCGAGATGAAAAATCTGTGTGTGTGTGTGTGTGCGTGTGTGTTTTGTGGATGAAAATTTGTCGCTGGCTACTACTGCGATTCCTTGACCATTTCCCATTTTCCACATTTTCTACATTTAAATGTAAATTAATGGTCGGTTAAGCTGTCAGTCTCGGGTTCTCTTCCATTCGGACTCTAGATCGTACTCTGGCCTCTGTGGGGTCGGTCGGTCGGTCGGTCATCTAACAATTTTTCGGTGGATGAATGGCATTGGACATCATCACAGCACAGATTTGTGGTGTTAATTTGCTGTGAAATGTTGACTGACCGGTGGACCGGATCGGACCAGGACCGTGTGTACACCGTGTGGACCAGTTTACCAGTTGATGCGGCCATTGCCTGTAATTAATTGTCTGTGTTTAATTTGGGTTAATTTTATTTATGGGCCAAGCTCCTTGCGTCATTTACGACTGAAAAACCGTTCACACGGAATACAATTACAGAATAATATTTCACATTTTTCCTACTCATTTTTTTCTCTTTTCTTTTTCTTTTCTTCTTTTGTTTCCTTTTTTTTTTTGTCTCTGGAAATCTAGAAATCATTGCTGTTGTCAGTTCTTGTTCGCCTGCCTGGCTGTGACGTGGCAACACTGACAGGACACTTTTGACAGCCCAGAGACAGCGAGGACTAAGCTTCTGCTAATGTCAACAGCAAACAGTTCAAAATTGTGCAAAAACAACAACCAAAAGACAAACAAAAAGATAAATGTGGGATTGAAATGTGTGGAAAATAAAGCGACCAGGTTAGTGCTCTATAAAATATGTTTTATCAGAGAAAGAAATTCCCTATGCCTGTATGGATTTTTTTATTTATAATTTTATAGTCTGTGCTTGAATGGAAACATTCCAAGTAGTATAGATTTTAGCTGTAAGAAACCGTTCATTATACCTCGTTTTGTGTAGAGCATTTTTGAATATAAAATTGTTTTGTGGGAGTGCTGCTGAAGGAGGGTCGAGCAACAAGACAGAGTAAAACAAAAGCCGAGCAAGAAGCAACAGTGGCACTGACAGTGGCACTGGCAGACAGGCAGGTTCCAGGTTCCAGGTCCCAGGGCCCTTCCTTCTACTCTGCCTCAGTCTGCCACTTCCACTCTGCTGCTACTCCCACTCTGCCACTCTGACACTGACAGTTGTCAACTGCTGTTGTGTTGTTTGCTTCCTTTATTTCATATTTCTTTGCCATATTTTTCATATTCCCTTCGTTGTGCTCTGTCTGTCGCTGTTACTGTTACCCAAGATTTTTGTCATATTTTTTATATACTCTCGCAGTTGTCGTACTCGTACTCGTACTCGTATTTTGTTGGAAGCTTCACTAATGTGCTAAATCTCTTTCTCTCTCTCCCCCACTCTTTGGGTATATCTCTGGTTCAATCTACGATATGTGCATCAGTTTCTCACTTACCTAGGATTTTGGCATTGTTTGTTTCCGCTGGCTCTCTGATCATAAATTTCCTTTTAACCAGTTTAGTCTGTCTGTGGACACAGCGAGGAGGAGCAGGGGGGCAAGCAAAAAAATATCATAAAATACAAAATGAAGTACGCCCGACATGACTCGGACACTCTAGAATTTATGTGACAATTTTGTTCAGAATAAATGACTGCTGCAGGACCAAGAGGATGCCCCATATGTGTGTGTGCGTGAACGGTGGCACATTCAGGTTTATGGTGAGTGTATCTTTTTGGGGTATATTACCTTACTTGATACACTCTGTGAGGGTAAAACAATTGAAGAGGCAATACTGTGCCTCTTGAGTGTTTAGATTTGTTGCACTACCAGAAGCACGAGCTATAAGCAGAAGCTTATTACACAGCCGAACCGACCGATAGCGCTGCTGCATGACGCGCTTATTATATCTTACCCACAGAAATTTATAAGGGTTTCTTAATATTTTTTTTTTCAGGTTTGCCAATTTGTTATGCCCTCTATAAAGCGTATAGAAATTAGTTGGGTTAAAAGGCACACATGCACACCAAAAAGATACCCATGGATATGGGTAAGGAGAAATGGGATGCTGGTGCCGGACAGCATTTGGCTCCGGCGATTGCCATTCCGCAAAGCCCACAAAGTGGGTGCCCACTAAAAACTAACCCACTGCATGGAAAATCCCATGGAAGGGTGCATATGGGGGTTTTGTGGCAGTGGCAGTGGCAGCAGCACTTCAGCACTTGGTCTCTCGATTCGCTTTTGTGGGAAAGGTGGGGTGGGGAGGGTGCTGTTGTTGTCGGTCATGTTGCATAAATCTCATTTTGGGCTTTATTTACTCTCTCACAAAATGCTGCACGTTTTCCAGATGGTTCTTTCACTCTAAACCTGCTATCTCTATCTCTTTCTAACCTGCATGTGCTGTCTCTTTCTGGCAAATAAATTCATTTAGTGGCATTTAGTGGCCCCTTTCACCTTATTGTCGTCCATGGGTCGTCGAAGGCAGGATTCTGTTCGTGCCCCCCAGAGGGTTCCCATGATTCCATGGGAGTGTGTGTGTGTGTGTGTCTATGTGTGTGCATTTTATGGCAGTTTCTGCGTTTTTGTGGCCAAACATGAAGTGAAAATTACACACACACACACACATAGAGAGAAGGGAAAATGCACACACACACACACACATATGGCAATTGTTTTTCCCCGAATTCGGAGGATGGGCTGTTTGGGAGGTTTGTTGTGGCTGCTGCTGCTGCTGCTGGATTTTGGCTTTAGTCGGCAGTTAATTTTCATATTTTCTAGCCGCACTCACGTACCGCCAACGCCACACCCCCCCCCCCCAAAAAAAACCCCATCCCCTCTGGCCACTGCCCCTCTGCCCATCTGTGTGGACATTTTGTCGTAAATAAATTTAACAATTTATTTAGATTGCCATGACAGGCGGATGCTATTAAAAGCGAAATTTATGGGATCCTTTCGGCGCTTTCAGAAAGGGAAATGGAAGATGCACAAATGAACTTTATGATGTTGCAAAAACACAAAAACGGGGCCCATAAGGAACAGTAAACAAATAATGCATTTTTGTGGCGGGGTGGGTACGGGGGAAAGGGTTTTTGCTGAAACGGAAGAATCTAGGGGTAATTATAATGTAATGTATCCAAGGGTTGGTTGGCTTTTCACTGCAAGAGTAATAGTTGTTAAGTTTTTACAACAGATGTGCCTTTTGAGTTCAACTGAAGACGTGTCTGCTAAGCCAAACTGGGAGAGAGAGAGATGTTTAAATACAAATCAAAGTGCTTATGTGACAGCTATACAAAATTTTTAATAAATAAAATTAGTTGAGTTAATTAAATAAATAAATAAAATATATAATACTTAATTCCAACAAAAAAATCATAAAAAATATATAAATAAAAATAAATATAATTATTAAAATAATAAGGTTTCAAATTCCACACGTAAAACGAAAATTTTCGGTTTCCCTGTTTTCCCACTCAATTCCAATTGTCATCAAATTACAAAATGAAAAAAATTATATATTTTTCGACACACCAAATCCCCCCTCATAGATCTCCATCTCAACAGAATTCTAAATGCCACTTGATGGCACAGGAAATGGTTTTTCAATATATATCAAGATGCTGACGACAGCAAGCGATTAAAGATCTTTGACTGAAAACCGAAAACCACTTGACCCGAGAGCAGTGCCATCAATTAGAAACTTGAACGCTTGTTTCCTGACAGATTGTTTCATTCAAAAAGCGGGAGCAATCCTAAAGTAGGGCACTTGTCGGATATGTCAGAGTTCAGGACTTAAAACACAAATATGTTTTTATTTTTTTCTGGTTTCCCAAGCAACATGTTGGATGAAGGAATATTCATGAATATTATTGTAATTTATTGACAACATTTACGCCTAACTAACCCCCAAAGCAACACCAAAAAAAAATGAAAACTGAAAGGAAGTTTGGGAAAAGGGGTTAAACTATGCACTGGAAAAGGCTTTTCTTTGAAGGGCAATCGTGCGTTAAACAAACTTCCTGCATAATCCCATAGACCCATGAATCTTGTCAACCTACTACAGCGGGGGGTGCGCCACCATCTCTGATATCTCGCAACAAACTATGGTTATGGATAGAAAGTAAAACCTCACAAAAAAAAAAAAAAAGGGTAGATATTCTTTTGTTTGCCAGACTGAAATTGACTGATTACCCACAAAATTACCAACATTTATTTGTACGTAATTTGAGACATTAATAAAACGTTTTTTCCTTTTCTCAGTTGCGGGGCGTGGTGGTTGGCTCGCTTGGCTCGCTGTACGCTGTAGTTTCCCCGGAAGTAACCCCTTTTCATGGCTGGCAGTTTCTCTGACAGTTTTGCCCTCTAATATTTCAAAATTTGTAACATTTGTTACACACTCAAATGACATCAGCTAATTAGCCCCAGAGACGACGAAAACGAGAGACGTTGGCTTGGCTGATGTGTTCGGATGATGTTAATTTGGTTTTATGGCCGTTTCACAGGCGTTTTGAGTTTGAAATGGAAATACTAGTAGTCCGTGGGATTCAAAAAGGTTGCCTGAATGGCTGAAGATTTATCGTCTCAGACAGAGAATGTGACAAGACATTCAAAATAAATGTTTAAATGGAGTATATCTTAGTAACAAGTGTTAATTAGGGCTATGTTAAATATGTTAAGAGTTTTTAACAAATATTTCTAGCACATTTTCTTGGAATTGTGCTATTTCTTTTGATTTTTAGTTAATTTCTCTACCAAAAATTATTATATAAAATATTTCAGAGCTGTCTAAATGTTTAAATGGAGTATATCTTGGTAACAAATGTTAATTAGGGCTTGGAATTCGGTTAAAAAAATATGTTAAGGGATTTTTAACAAATATTTCTAGCACTTTTCGAGTTTAGCTAATTTCTCTACCAAAAATTATTATTTTTAAAATTTTAGAGTCCTTTTTTTGTGTCAAGTACAGTCAAACAAACAGTCAAACTCCACTAAAAATACTAAGAAAATTGCAAAATAAATTTAAGAATATATTTTAGTTCGAATTTTAATATTTAAAATACTTGAACAGAACTTTCTCTTCATATTTCTATTGACAATTGGCTCAAGTGCATAATTTACGATGCCGTCTGTCGGCCAAGTGTTGACGGAAGTTGTGAGAATAATTTAAATCTTCTTATGTGTGGTTTGTGTGTGTGTGTGTTTTTTTTGTTAGAAATTCGAAGAACTAATTGAGCGTGTCTCATGAGATTTCAGCACTTGAAAAAAAAAAAGAAGAAGCGGCAACCGAACCGGCAGCAGCCCGACCGGCCCGACTACCGAGAACTCAATTTATTTTTTTTCATTAAAGCGAAAGACGTTGGCGATGGCGATGAAGAGGTTGGGAATGGATTGGATGGTTGGTTGGGATGGTGGATGCGGTGGAGAGCACTTGAATGCAGGCTCCAATTATGGAACGAAACTCTCTGACGTCAGTTGGCGGCTCATAATGAAAACATTTAACCTGTCGTCGTCAGCTCAGCTCAGCTCAGTGATTCGAACAACATGAAAATCATTCTCTCTGTCCTCTCGGAGCACCCATCAGCCATCCCTTCTGTCTATGTTATCGCACTTTTTCAATTATATTCCGTGTGTATCTGTATCTGTCTCTCGCTATGATCCTTTCGAGCAACGGAACGGAGCACGGTGCACACAGCTAAAAGAAAAGAATACTTGAATGGAAATTGACAGAGAGGCAAGGCACAAGCACAGCCAAGGCAGCCCAGGTTTCAAGTTGAGTGGATAATACCACCTTTT